AAAAATTGTTCTTTTTAACTTTTAATTTTATTTATGGAACACAGTTTCCAAAAAAAAAATATTAAGCAGCACAAGTTAACTGATAATAAAACAGCATAAGAATGATTTCAATGATTTCTAAATGATCATGTGACACTGAGGACTGGAGTAATGATGCTGAAAATTCAGTGCTGCGTCACAGAAATAAATTATATTTTAAAGTATAATAAGGTAGCAAACCAATATTAGAAATTGCAATAATATTTAACAATATTACTGTTTTTTTCTGTAGTTTTGATCAAATAAATACAGCCTTAATGAAATAAGGGACTCCATAAAAAAAATTATATAAAAGAGTTAGTGAAATTATTTGGTAGTCTGAGGGGGGCTCAACCAAAAAAGTTTGAGAACCACTGGTCTAAAGTTAACAGACAGTGCAGTCCCCATGTTTACATGTGTTTATTACAGTGACTTTGAATTACCTAAAGTAGTGTGGTAAAGCAACAGATTTGTTTTTATATTTTATATTATATTTTATACTACTTTAGATTTTGTGATTTGTTACTGACCTTCATATTAATGTTTAAACCAGGCTTATTTGTCAGTGCTTTATGTTGTCATAATTATTACATGCTTACAAGTTTGGAAGTTCAACAAATCAGTCAATATACTGTGATTGTAGTTAAATAAAAATGTCAATCATATCAATTCATGCATCACCTAATTTCATCGTAACATATAGGCCTGGCCTACAGAAAAGAACATTTATGTTTAATCTATCTAATAGCGTGTTGTTCATACTATACAATGATTTATAGCTTGTCTTTGTTGAATAATACAGAACATAAAGAGCTTTAAAAAAATAATTGCATATTAAAATCGCAATCGCAATATTGGTGGTAAAAATAAATAAATAAATAAATAAATTCGCAATTAGATTTTCCAAATTCGTTCAGCCCTACCCGATATATGCATTTGCCCACACACGTGCGAGCAGAAATGTATATTTGCATCACTTGACAAGTATCCCCTTTGCATCTTCATTAGAGGTCTCAATTAACACATCGTGAAAAACAATGTAAGCTTCACTGAACCAAAACCATCTCAATTATAGTGCTGGTATGACACACTTCAATTCTCTCTTGCTGACAAACAATGTGGTTGCACTTGCCTTGATTTTACACAAACTTATTCACTGTTAGAAACATGCATGCCATGAGAATTTACTGACATGGCACATTTAATATTGCATCAAGAGGATACAGCTCTCCCTGCACTTCACATCTGAGTTGTTACAGTAACATTTGCAACAGTAACCTATTGAAAACTGTGCCACGTTTGCATAGTAGGAGAGCGACATTCAAACCGAGAGTTCAGTGAGCACAAGCGACCGGGACAAAATGATATCTCATGTAACATGTATCTCACTAACATGTATGCTAGTGGTCAACCAATATGGACATTTAAAAACCCATTGCCAATAAACACATCTAGACTGTGTATGAGAGAGTTGACAGGTATATAATGCCAATATATGCATACAATTTAATGACTGCAAACGAGAAAAACATTCTGAAATTAAAAATTATTTTACACATTTAAAATGCACTACAAAAGACTGTTGGTTGGTTGATGTTTTAACACCATGCCAGCTCCCTTGGCTGTTGTCATGTTGTGTAACACATTGAAATAGTATAAAAGAGCAATTTAAAAACCTCAGGTTTTTAAAGTCTGCTTTAGATAGAAATTCTAAAATAGATTTAGGATTAATTCCATTTAGAATTTCTTCTAGAGTGTCCTCCGAGTAATATAATTTCATAAAAGAACTTAAGCCAACACAATTTAATAAAATGTGTTTAAGAGACAATGGACTCTGGCAAGAAGAGCATATCAGATTATCTTCACTTCATATTAAGTAATTCTGGAATTCGGCATTGTGCATATATGATCAGATCCCAGTGAATCACTACAAAACAATAAAAACAGAAACCATTTATTATCCATTGACAAGGTTTGAATGTGATGTAGCAGTCTATTATAAGAAAGTGGTGGAGTTTATATGGACTAAATTAATGGAAAAGGGAGGTCTCAGAAGGTCAAGTTATGATATTTTAAATAAAGATTTCAAATGAAATTTAAAAAAGAATCAATTTAGAAAACAGAATTTTCAAGCAGATACAGCAGAAGAGACAGTTATTGGTAGATACCAGTTTTCTCAAAATGGCCAAATATCAACTAATAATACAGCCTGGCCGTTATAACAGTCTAGCACTACTCAGCAGATATTGGGTGATATGTCGGCCTGTCACTAATGCACTCTAGGAAGCTCAATGACAAAAACACACTCTGATCAAATAGGTAAACCAAAAACAGAGCGAGGCGACAGCATTTAGTCAGAAAGCTTCAGATCACAGAGGTAAAATGTAGGGATGCAAGAGCTTGAGGCCAGAATTGGAGGTCAAGTTCAATGACCTAAAACTGCACCTGCATCTCCCAAAACACTAGCAAACAGTAGGGCTGTCTTTTTTTTCCCGAATATTCGTCGAATTTAAAATAAAGATTCACATTCGAATGCAAAAACGTTGCATTCAAATTTTAGGTGTGCATTAAGGAGGCAGCTTTATCAGTGGCGCACGAGATGCAATGACGATAGAAGTGTCAATCAAAACGTTCACACAGAACGCATATTTATCACATTTTCTAGAGGGACATCTATCACCATTGCACTCGCGTCTCGCACAAGAGGCATGTTTAGAAAGCCATGGAAAATTAATGCAAGTTCAACTTTGAAAAAACATCTCCAGACTTTATGGCGGGTTTTCTTCCCCATCCCACTGCAACTCGTGTTTTTAAATGAAAAATGTACTGTGGCTTTCGGTCCTTTGTATTAAACTATACATACATGATGCTGTTTTGTTTATAGTTGTTTAAGCAACTTAATTATAATTGGTTTATAAACATTATTTTAAGCATTATGCATTTTTTTTTTCACGGATTGTCATTTTTTTATGCTTTGAATAAACGTGCATTAGTAATATTTTGACAAGCGTATAATAAGTGAGTTTTTCATCCAGAACTTCCCATCAAACCCTGCCTGTTCAATCTGCAACTGCAATAAAGCAATCAGCTGCATCTGCTAAAGCAACACAGCCTGATTGTCGTGCTGAGCGTTTTGAGCGAGCGGAGCGGAATCTTCAGAAAGACGCTCTGCGCTCTTAAGGAAATATTACCACTCCGCTCCCCGCTCCGCTCACGCTCCGCTCCGCTCACATGCTCTGGCCCTAGCAAACAGTGCAATAAAATGCATGGCAGTATCTATGAAAAACCATCATTACAATACAATCCTACATAGTATGACAGCCAGCATCTTAATTGTATGCAACATTTAAAACGACTGTTTTGAACAGATGCAGACGCCGCCTTCCTCTGAACCTAGTCTTGAGTCATAAACTCGAATACATTTTGACAAGCGTATAATAAGTGAGTTTTTCATCCAGAACTTCCCATCAAACCCTGCCTGTTCAATCTGCAACTGCAATAAAGCAATCAGCTGCATCTGCTAAAGCAACACAGCCTGATTGTCGTGACCTATTTACTGCTGATTCCCGGATGTAAGAAAATAAAAGCACTATAATGTGCATGGTCACCATGTCATGCTGCAGTCAATGACGCTAACGCACATACAATATTATTATAAGGTAAACTGCATTACAATGCACAGTGAGGAGCATCTCGCTGACAAAGGATGCTCATGCATGACACTGTACAGTAGTCTGATGGGTCTCTTCATATATTAAAAACGGCATTTGGATTAGATGCAACTATGTTATCATATTACATCTGCACATGCATGAGCACAGAAATTATTCACGACCCATACATAAACTTACAGTTGAAGCTACTGATTTTTTTTTTATTATTGCTCTTTCTTTCTTTCTTTTTGGATTGACTTTAAAATGGACATAACAAAAAATAAATAAAAAAAAAACAAAAAAAACTCTACATTCAGAACCTTATGATATTTTACTTTAATTGCGAAACCTATACATATATATATATTTTTAAACTACATAAATTTTTGGGGCAGTTTTATATTCACAAGACAAAAATGACAAACAAAACCCTCATGCATTACCTTTTGTAAAACTTATTTCACAACGGACTACGAAACCCTTTCAAACATGAGAAAACAAAAAAATTATGAAAATAATCAATTAAATTTAAATTTATGTAACTTTATAAATATTGCATTTTTATTTGACTTATTTTGTTCTTTATTTACTTGCATATATTTGTTGCCTTTGCATTTTTGTTGTTGTTCCTAGTCCTCATTTCACATATTCTGAACTGTACAACAATGCTTTATATTCGGCTAGTTCTTTTTTGCACAGTATTTAATTGCGATTAAATACTAATTAACTTACAGTTCCACTCATGAACTAGCTTGAGTCGTTTTCTTGTTCTGAACCTTTCATTGAACTCTAAATCTAGGTTCATCAAGTTCAAAATGTTGAAATGATCAAATATCCATACATTCTTTGACCATGTTCCTTTTCAAACAGGTGACAAAAGCGGAAGTCTTTTTAACGGAGCTGTCAAAAGTTTGACAGAATGGCACAGTTCAGGCAACGTGTAAAACCACAAAAACTTGAATGAAACTCGGAAAAAGTGAGTAAAAAGCCTCGTAAGTGAATAAACTACCGGAAGAGTTCCAGCATAACTAGCTGATTTGCTTGCGGCTAATTACTTAAAGCAGCAAAGCTAAGAACACAAGAAAGAGTTTGCGACCCGATGCAAGTTTTCACATCCACGTGAATTTGAAAGTCGAGTTAAATGCATACACAAATAATTAATTAATTAATTTCGAGGTAATCCAAATGAAGGCGTAACGAGACTAGCCTAGCTCGCTTAGCAACGGGATTCCGCTCATTGTAACTAAGGCGGAAACAGCCGCTCGCGCTAATGCTAATGCTAACCCCCGCGAGCCTGCTGCTAGTGTTAGCCTTAACAATAATACTCACCTCCAACTCGGTACATGTTGGCCGCCATTCTCTCACTCCCCTAAACAAACACAAAAATCACGGTTTCTCTCGTTGTGTGGATAACAATGCGTATCCAAAAGTGCTGCTGGTTCTTTATATCCTCGCGTGTACTGGCGTACTTCCCCCCGCTGCGAGACAAAGCCGGGACCCGGCACGGCGCTGCCGCTCTGGCGGGTAAAAGTTTAAAGTTTCCGCTACAATGTTTCTCCGGATGGTAAAAAAATCGCGTCTTTGTTTCGGCGCTGCGATAAAACTCCCATTGAAGCCCCTTCCAGACATTCACACGAGCCCTTGATAGCCAGCCTGTCTCTCTCTTTCTCGCGCTCTCACTCCACTCTTCCTCCCATCCTCCGCTCCCTGCTTCATCCTCCTCTTCTTCACCTCCGCTCTGTTTCACACACACACGCGCGCGCGCGCAACCCCTTCTCCAACGTCATCTTCGGAAGCTCATACGTCATCTTCGGAAGCTCATACGTCATCTTCGGAAGCTCATACGTCATCTTCGGAAGCTCATACGTCATCTTCGGAAGCTCATAACGTCACTTTGAATTCGACAAACTCCCGGGAAACAGAAACCTGACCTCTGGTAAATAATTACTATTGAAAATTCAAAAGACATTATATAAATTTTTCTTTTTCTTTTAAGGGGCATTTATTATAGATTTATTTTGTGGCACCAAGTTAATGTGGATGGGCTTTTCCCACTTTAGAATTTCATTGATTATTATTTATTATTAGAACGAACTTTGCATGTACATACATGGTTATGTATACATAAACACTGCATAAGGATATCAAACTCATTAATCGTTGAATGTCGTTTCTCTCTTTTCATGATTTATTGTAATTCACAGGTGTACATTGTTTGTTATTCTGAAAACAACAAAATACAAAAGAAACAGAAACTTGAGCTTTTAAAAATAAAAATAATTTCAATTACATTTTTTTTATATAAAAGCCAGCACCATGACTACTGTGCTTTTTTTAAATTTTTATTTGTAATCAGTTGTCAGACAAATAAATAAATACATTTGCATTCACCTCAAGACCTATTTAAGTTTCATTTAATTACTTTTAAACTAAAAATGTTTAAATTTCTCATATTTTATGCAGGTATATGATAGCCAATCGTGCAAACGATCAGAAACGTTCACTTGCGAACATAACGTAGAAGCAGGTTAGGATAGTGAAAAGTGCTGCAGTACTCCCCTCTATAGACTTACAGACAGCAACGCAACCGTTATTTAAAAAAGTCTTGCTCCAATGGTCCTCTAGGTGGCGTTTCGTAATACTAAAACTGATTCACCTCAGTAACTGTATGGCATTTAAAGCACACACAGACAAAAACATTATTACTTTAAAATGTATTTATTTGATTAAAAATAACACAATTTCACATTGTTTAACAAGCTGTAAAAGCTGACTTTTGGAAGTTTTTGGACAGAGGACATATTCCTGATAGCAAATAAAGCATTGATTATCCTGCTGCCCATAACACAATGCTTCACAGAGACATGATTTATGGTTAATAATGTAATGTCAGACAATTATGCATATAGTAGTTAATGACCGGAAAAACAGTAGATGATTAAAATGAGCATATGAAAAGCAATATGAAGTAAACAAGCACATGTAAACTTGAAATACACCGAGTAAAACATGATAGATATAAAAACTAGAGATTAATTTCAGTGAATACATCCTTGTCTCGCAATGTGTTGAAGTGTTGAATTTCACAATTGTCAAAATTCACAAGTTTTTTTTCACAATTCACAAAAGTAAAGGAAAAAAATGTCATTATTTAAAAAAAAAAATTGCATTAATACCATAAAAATTTTTTTAGACTTATTATTGTTCCTTTTGATTTTGGAATGCAAGAATACATTACAAAAAAATATATATAAAAATTTCAGACACAATTTGTGACGCTGGAGCACAAAAGCAGTCTTAAGTCGCTGGGGTATTTTTGTAGCAATAGCCAAAAATACATTGTATGGGTCAAAATTACTGATTTTTCTTTTATGCCAAAAATCATTAGAACATTAAGTAAAGATCATGTTCCATGAAGATATTTTGTACATTTCCTACTGTAAATATATCAAAACTTCATTTTTGATTAGTAATATGCATTGCTAAGAACTTCATTTGGACAACTTTAAAGGCGATTTTATCAATATTTAGATTTTTTTGCACCCTCAGATTCCAGATTTTCAAATAGTTGTATCTCGGCCAAATATTGTCCTATCCTAACAAACCATACATCAATCGGAAGCTTATTTATTCAGCTTTCAGGTGTTGTATAAATTGAAAAAAGGGTATAAAAACCCTTATGGTTTTGTGGTCCAGGGTCACATATATATTTTTTGGCCATGTCAGTTCGAGAGAGAGAGAGAGCGAGAGCGCGAGCGAGAGAGAGAGAGGGGGTCACATCACAGTGGAGTCAGCTGTCTTAACCGTGGCTTGTGTACTGCAAACACATACCAGCTTCATCACTGTGTCTGTCACGCGACTCTGTTCCCCTTTCAGGCTCTGTCTTTACATTTATTTTGAAAGATGAAGCTCGCGATTATGGTAAGGGGCGTTACATTTCCGACGAGTGCTTGCGGTGTAAAGTGAGTCCACTCTTACTTCTGGTTTACAGATATGGCTCATTGTGCTGCTTCCTTAGCAAGAACCACTTATACCTAAAATCATAAAAAAAAAAAGATTTTCTCTCACCCATGACATGGAATCCAAGCACACAGGTATAGGATGCCCACTCTCGATCTTTACTCTCAAACCGGTTCCTCAACAGCTTGCAGCCACTTGCGACATCCCCTTTTTCCACAAACATAAATGTTCAAATGCATTATCATTTATATTACTCATTGTCTTCTTGGAATATGTTTCTGTGTTATGAACCCAAGCGTGCAGCCTTACAGTATAGAATTTCATAATCTCCAGAGTTGGACATGATGTATTTTCCATCTTTGGACCAGTCGAGGTGAGTAATGAAACTGGAGTGCCCCTGTAGTGTTACATACAGGGAATGCATTTTATCTGCACAACTTATTGTGCTTTTTAACAGAAACAGACTGCTATAAAACATTACACACAACAAACCACCATAAAACAGTTTGACATCTTTTAGAGTACTTGACCCAAATGCTTTGCTTACTGTGCATTTTCCGAATCGTGTATAACGCCGGCCTCCTTCTGTGACGTTGTAAATGTAGATGAAGTTGTCATGGGAACCAACTGCCAAAAAGCTGCCATCTGTGTTTTGGTAAGCAGTAAAATAAAAGTTATCGACTATAAACAGGCTTGCAAAACATTCTGCATGCAGTAAAAGCTGCCACATTGTGCCACAAACAAGCTATCAGTTATACATCTACTAATAAATGTAATAATGTTGATTTTCAGAAAAGGTTTAGTTCTGTTTTATACTGTGCTATTTATTATTGTGATTTTGTTGACCTCTGACCTGGTGAGTATCTCATTACGGACAGCTGCTCATTGCCATCAGTCAGGTCTGTCACCACTTCTTTGGTTTGCAGATCCAGTACAACCCATCTAAACAGGTAAGCGGTTAAAAACCATCATAAAGCCATTAAAAAAGGGAACATTTCACTGTAAAAAGCTTACTATAAAACTGAAGTGGTAATTGTTATCAGCTGTGTTGTAAATGTTTTACCTTCCAGTACTCAGTCCAACAGAGACAACACCTCCATTTGGGCTGAAATCAGCACACAGGCCAGATTCCTAAAAGAGATAAAGATTCATGTTAAATTTACAGAGAAACTTTACAGAGTGTTTACGATAATACTGGTATTCATTTTTAAAGGCGCACCAACATAAAAGTTTAAATTAAGTTTAAAAGTATTTCCAAGTATGTTTACAATTATGCACACTCAAATGATTTTCAGTGACATCAGTGGTGTAAACAAAAACTGTATACTACAAACACTGACATTCAAAGGTTTGGGGTCAGTATACATTTCTCTCTTTTTTGAAAGAAATGAATACATTTATTTAGCAAAAATGCAAGAATTGATCAAAAGTGGTAAGGACATTTATAATGTTACAAAAGATTTCTATTTCAAATAAATGCTGTTTTTTTTTTAAACTTTCTATTCATCAAAGAATCCTGAAAAAATGCATCATGGTTTTCAGCATTACTAGTGATAAGAAATGTTTCTTGAGCAGCAAATCAGCATATTAGAATGATTTCTGAAGGATCATGTGACACTGAAGACTGGAGTAATGATGCTGAAAATTCAGCTTTGCCACCACAGGAATAAATTACATTTAAAAATACAGAAAAATATACAGTTATTAATATTAGTTTTTAGGATTATTTATATGATTTTAGTTATGAATATATACAAATATGCAGTTTCACAATATTACTGTTTTTATTGGATCAAACAAATGCAACCTTGCTGAGCATAAGAGACTTCTTTCAAATACATTTTAAATGAATAAATAAATAACCCCCAAATTCTGTCGTGTTAGTGCATTGAGACCAAATGAATATATCTCAGTAACGCCCATATGTGACCCTGGACCACAAAACCAGTCATAAGGGACAATTTTTTGAATAAATAAGCTTTCGATTGATGTATGGTTTTGTAAGGATGGGACAAAATGTGGCTGAGATACAACTATTTGAAAATCTGGAATCTGAGGGGGCAAAAAGATCTAAATATTGAGAAAATCGCCTTTAAAGTTGTCCAAATGAAGTTCTTAGCAATGCATATTGCTAATCAAAAATTAAGTTTTGATATATTTACAGTAGGAAATTTACAAAATATCTTCATGGAACATGATCTTTTCTTAATATCCTAATGATTTTTGGCATTAAAAAAATATCGATAATTTTGACCCATACAATGTATTTTTGGCTATTGCTACAAATATACCCCAGCGACTTAAGACTGCTTTTGTGCTCCAGGGTCACATATTATCAAATACTTTCAGCTGTGTACTTCCACTCTATTCCAAGCATATTGTTTGATGCAGAATCCA